TCGATACTCATGCAAGTGCTTGTATGCGAACGATGGAATGTTCATGGCCATCCCAAGGCGACCGAAGCTCGACGCCATGGAGCATTGAAACTTTCTCGTCGGCATGAGAAGGATACGTTCGTAGGAGGCCGAAGTGTGCAGCGAGTTCAGCATGTTGTTAAGCCTTGAGGGGTGCAGCGGGGACTGTATTGACATGGAGTCATAATCTAGCAAGTACGTTTGCGAGAGGCAGAACAATGCACAATTTGTTCAGCAAGGAGGAGTAGTCCAAGGAGATGGTGGTCTCCGAAACATTCAAAGAGAAGGAAGCGAAGAGAGAAGTTGCTCCAACGGGATAGATATCCAAGAGAGATAAGTCCCAGCTTTTCAGAGTGAGAACCAAGTGCAACGGACCGCACATGTTGAGGAAGAGTACCTCAAAAACAACTTCACAAAGCTTAACGAATCAAGCGAGCGACGAGGAGTCGTCGCATGATCTCACTTGAGATAATGCATTGGGGGTATGCATTACGAGATCAAGTTGGGGACCGATCAAAGGTAACACAAATGAAGGCACACTTAGAGTCGATATGGAGATCGGACTTAATGAAGGGCTAACCCATGGAATGGTGGGCACGAGGGCCACTATCAACTCAATGCAAAACGAGGAGCAAAGCAACTTGGGTGTAACTTAGCGAAGTACCCAAGCCGCATGACGGGAGCCGACATAGAAGATGAAAAATGGAGCCAAGCAACTTTCTTACCGACAGAGATTAGGAATGCTATTAAAAACACTTGTGATTGCAACATATAGTATATTTATGAGTGGTTATTACAATACCTGTGTTCGGGTGTCGACCAAGCGCCGGCGTAAGACTGCCAAGTCACTACTACAAACACATAGCAACAAATAGATGTATTATAAACTCTAAGATACAGGACTTGGTTATAATTTATTAATAACTTCCTATTTCATGACTGTCGTACAACGTCTTACGCTGTTGCTTAGCCCGGAGTCCTAATTAATAGCGGCAGCAATAAAAAGGGCTGCTCCCGTTATAAGGAAGTCCCTGACATACGGAGTACTATATCAATAGGAATAATGAGAAAGTCCATCATATGGTGACCTAGAAACTAGGAATAGGACTAATTTCATTAGATAGAGTTATTAGCCCTGTCTCTATTCTAAAGGGCTAATAACTCTTTGTCAGTTGGATCGCATCAAGTAATAATCCAATACCTGTGTTCAACTGAGTACTCATATAGTATTATCTACCACATATTGAAGTTCATCTCATAAACATATTCTGTATTTCTTGACTGCTCTAGAGCTCATATTCGCTTAAGGGAGCCCAATAAGTCAGAGGACAAGGCCGAGTAAGCAAACGTTGTTACCAATGAAGCTAACGAGAACAGAATCGGTGCGAACCCTGCAATAAGATGGCGAAAGCCATGCACAAGAGTTACAGTCCGTCTTTCCATCGACCAAGAGGAACTGCTCGGAGAACACAGAGGTGTTGGAGCTGGGGGTCGAAAGGGGCGAGGAAGCGACGACGAGTCTAGAGGGACTTAGCTACCCAAAACCAAGCATCGATTAGAATAGAGGTGGACTCAGAGGAGTGCCATAGAGGCATATCTACCGATCGTGAAGAAAGGGATGCAGATGCGAGGCGACGGATAGTAGGGCCATAGGCATGGTAGCGCCATGGTACCGCAGAGGCAGGACTTCCGTGAAGTCATCGATCTCTTCTTCTCATGGAGGGAGAATGCTTAGTCGTAAAAGGGGCCGAGGAGGTGGAGAATGCAGAGGCAAACTCCAAGTACCGAGACAAAGCTGAAGGGTAGAGAATAGGGAACTTCGTAAGACCGGTGTCAACGAGCTTCTCATCAAGATAGCCGAAAGTGAAAGACTTCGGGTCGATGCAAGAGTGCATGACCAAGGAACGAAATAGACAATACGCAATGTTGTACCTTTGCTACTCAGTGGAGTAGGCGGCAGGGTTGATGGAGAAAACGGTACAATCCCAAAGGCGACCAAAACTATTAGAGACTTACTCCAAGTTTGGGTGAAAACTTCTTGCATTCCAGAAGTTCAATGGCATTGAGAAGGTGAATCACAGTAGCTAACGCAACGCAAGGAGTGCAAACACTTCGAGTGCTCCATAAGTGTAAGCAAAGAGCCGACGAATGCTAGTAACCAACTCGATGCATGGAGTACAACCCTTGAGGAGGCAAGCGAAGTCGAGTAACCTTTGCCTTCTCAACTCTAAAGAGAATGGGCGAAACCGAGTACCCCAATTCTCTTATCTATCTAGCAAATGAGCTTTGCACATGTTCAAAGACCCTTCGAAGAAACTAAATGGAAGACAATAGTTGTCAAATCCTCATCAATGGTGATCAGTGTTGCTAAGAGTAGATTACCCGCTTCATTTCCCAAGAGAATGCCAATTGAAAGCGGAAGTGATGCGAACCTAACTGGAAGTGACAACTAAGTGAAATAAGAGTCGATGGGAAAATTTTGTAGAGGAAGGAACCAAAACTTCAAAAGTTTACGAGATGATGCTTATTAAAACTCCAACAAGCATTTACCCAGTTCAAGTAGCATGAGGCATTTGAGAGACTGGCGCATAGCAAGGATGATCTTTTCCTTCATCTGAAGGATCCGTAGAAACCAACAGGGATCAACACAACTCAGCCAACCCCACACTAGAGTCAGAGTCATTAGCGAGTTGAAATAGCATGGCGGATCAAAAGTTCGACTACTCAACAACAATAGTTGAGAGCAGTTGGGAGCCAACAAACGCATTGCAGCTGGAGCAGAAAAATGAAGATTCAGCAAAGGCGAGGAGTTGCAGTGTCAGCAAAAGCTTCGACGAGGACGTCGAAAGAATAAATGGGGGAGAATATCACGGACAAAATTGTAAACAGGGTGTTTAATGTAATGCTTATGTATGTTCGTGTCCTTGGTTTGTTCATGCTTTGCACAGCATGTAGAAGGACGATCGAAGGCTTAAAAGCCTCATTTTAGTTGGGTTTGGTAGCCATTTTAGGCTTGTAAATAAAGATTGTGTCATGTGGACACTTGTGAGTGATTTCGATCTGTAGTGGACCATTTGGACCCTTTGTTGTGTAACCGTTCAGAGCTTGTAAAGTCTGTTTGTAATTTGCATTGACTATGAAGTGTTTTCTGTAATGTTTGCTTGTGGATCTCGAGTGAGGTAGTTTCTCTAACCTGTTTTCTCTTTTATAGGTCCTAAGGGACCATGGGAGGTTTTGGGGAGGCTGACCTTTGCGAACGGACACGCAAGGGTGCCGCACGACTTAGGCAAAACGAGCTAAGTCCGTGACAGTTCGGTAAATGTTAGGTAGTATCTCTGGTGTAGCACAGTTATTAAATTATTGGTATGTACCCAAATATAAAAATGTTGTTTTTTTCTTTGTTTTGAAACATGTTTGCAGTAAAGAGGCTGTTGATGTCATCTTGACTAACTCTATTTTGTCTGAATTTTTCATATGAGCCAACGAAAACACTTAATTCAGGGTATATGTAAGGCACAAGAAAGAAGCCATGAAAACCTAAACATTGACACACCTGATTCACTTGATCAAGCTTGCTAATAATATTAAGTCGAACATCAGGAAACTCATCTTTTAAGAGAGAAAGAAAGATTGGAAGAAGTTGTTCAATTGTTGCATCCTGCACAATGCAAAAAAATAGTTAAATAACTCATAGAAAACATAACAGATAAAAAAGATAAATAGAAAGAACTAAACGGGCAGAAAAGTTGGCCAAGAAACAATGACAAATATTTTGTTAAAGCTAAATCATATATGGAACTCCATGCATTGGATCTTGACAAAAGAAAACTAATCAACAGGCATATATTGATTGAATTAAGTGAATGAGTATAATAGTTTCAGTATAATGATTAAATAATACATGTTTCATGGAAGCATGCCATAGAAAAAAACACGACCCAGTGAAATGCATATCAATACTACAATTAAAATTCTATTATTTAAATGAACAACAATTAGGTGCATGTGCATAGACTTCCAAAAAAATAAAAGGGAAAAACAGCAACAGTAACAAAATATATGCTACTCTGTTAGTAAGGTGGTTTATCTGAAGGTTAAAAAACTAACCTTAGATGAGAGAACCAAATTATTTATAGTGTATTGCCAAGGATAACAAATGCAAACATAACAACTTCCACCCATGAGTCCAACTAGAAAATCTAAGAAATGCTTCCATGTTTTATCTCTTACATAGCCCCTTTAACAGCTCTGAACTTCCTAACTGAGAGCTCTATGATAGGCAAGTTCTAAAAAGTCATCGAACCGAGTCCATATTGTACTGATGATGTGCCAAATGACAAAAGTTTGGGCTAAACAGAAAAAGTTAAGAAACATAATAATATTAAGAAATTGTCAAAAAATATTCAAACCCTTGCTATCTTACAATTCTCATACCTTTCCCAAAACCGGAGCCATTCCCATGATAACTGAAGCCAAAGCCGAGCGAACATGCTGGGAAGAATCTGATGATAGTTCCTGCAGAAGATATACCCATATAAATTATACAAAAAAGTCACAAAAAAAAAAACTTAAAGTTGGACCTGTAATGACAAACACATCAAATGGGTCAAATGAAAATCGCCAAAATGTGCATAGCAAATACCTTCACACATGGAACAATGTGTTGAACAGCAAGGTGAGGATTCAAAATTCGGCAGAATTTTGTCACTTTTCCAGCAGCTGCTATCCGAACTTCAGCCTCGTTATCACGAAGAAGTCGCACATAAGCAGGCATCAAATCCGAACTTCAACAACATGAAACTCATCTCAGAAGAACTAGAAGAAAAAAGAAATGCTACTTTGATCAACTGAATTCTCTCTACCTCGTAGGTTCTGGCCCAACAGCTTCACAAAGCTCATATAACTGATTTGCAACCATATATCGGACCCTCCAAGATTTATCCTATTAAAAAAAAATACTATTTCAATTTGAAACTATGAAGTAATCCCAATATAGAAGTGACATGATATTGTTTCAGTATCTCGAAAATGTGCTATCAAGTTAGTGAAAAGAAGTTCATAAAAGAAACAATTAGAAGAATTAGAAGAATTTGAAAGAAGGGTCTCCAAACAGCAGACAGCATTGAGAAACAATTAGAAGAACTAGAAAGAAGGGTCTCCAAACAGCAGAAAGCATTGGACAGGACAGAAAACAAACACACAAAGAGAGAGAGAGAGAGAGAGAGAGAGAGAGAGAGAACAAATGATCCTGAAACAAAGCATATATACCTGTGAGAAATTAACAATCACTGGAAGAATATGAGATGCACAATCCTGCGGTTCCAGCAAATTCCCAAGAGCAGCACAACCCTCAACAGCCAACAAGCGCACTGAATCTTGATCTGACATGATGAGATGTAACTGAAATAAACTTAGACAAAATAATACAAGAATTTATTGGCTATTGATTACTTTGAATCAAAGAATAGAAGATTAGATTATGCTAACATTTAAACTATGATAATAATGATATAGAACCTATATTCAGATGATAAAAAGGCCAGACAATAAGACTATCACAACAAGTAATTGGTGCACGAAAAGACAACTACAGCTCAAGAAATGGTTCACAATCTCAAATTTGCACTTCCTACAAATTATAACAGGCAAGCTCCAAATTTCAGCAGGCTGGGCTAGGCCAAGAGTATGCTATGCATTATGAGATTTAAAGCCCAAAGCTATATAAAAAGGGGAGTAAAGAGGAGGAGAGAGATTATAATTGGGACCTCAATCGGTAAATGAATGAATAAAGAATTCTTTTTTCCCACATATTGTGTGAGTGGTGTGATATCACATTCTTTTTCTGATGATATTATTCCATTGTATAGAGGAGAGAGACCTCCATTTCTGAGAGTTAAAACCTTGAGTGGATGGTGAGTCTAGTAGTTTTATCTTCTATTGTATTTTCTAAAATATTCTGTTCTCTATTCTACAACTATTGAATCTCATAAAAAATATATTTTCTTTGCCCAACCACCAAGGCAGCCTAGCTTGAAGACTTTGGATTTGGTCACGACAAGTTCCAAGATGCCAACATATTCACCAAGGTGTCAACAATAGGAAGGGCCTCAATTGCTACCTTCACTGAAAAGTCCTAAACTTAATAATTTTACCAAGGTCACAAACATAAGTCAGACCACTACAGGTGCTCACGACATGAAGAGAAGAAGGCAATAACCTTCTCCACATGCTAGGCACCTATTTTCCAACTGGAACCGATTAGTGCAGTATACAATGAAGAACCTCACTGTTGTATCAAGGCTCTATTTAATAACACATGATTCTCAATTCCAAATGTTGTAGAGTAATAAATCTGGTGTGTATTGTCACGGATTTAGCTGGAATTTCCTAAGTCGTGAGGCACCCTTGCAGTAAAGTCATGGACTTAGCTAGAGTTGCCTAAGTCGTGAAGCATCCTTACACCAACTTCTCGGACTTAACTGGGATTGCCTAAGTCATGAAGCACCCTTGCGATATATGCGTCCACAAAGAGAAAACCTAGTTGCAACCTCGTACAGGTCCCGAAGGACCTATAAAACAGCAAGTTGATTAGTTTGAAAATAGGCGACGGACAAGTCCCGACGTCTCACGAAGAGGGAAGCTTTACAAGCAATTCAACAAGCATCTTGAGTGCAAGAGAAAAAAAAGAGGTAGAAGAAAACAAGAACTTTAGAAGGTTGAACGAACAGTTGCAAGTCCGCAAACAACTGTTCAGAGGGTGTCGGGCGCGAAGGCAAGTTCCCATCAAGTTAACATGCGAACTTGTGAAGATTGTTCAACGCCCGACACTACCCCAAAGCCCCATCCCCTCTGGTGCCACCCGGGGGGTTCCAGGGTGTTGAGAAGGTTGACATTTCGTGTGCGGCTGCAGTCTGCAAAAAATAAGCCGTGGCACATGAAAACGAAACTATTTTGGGGCAATTTTGCCTGGCATGACAAGCGACCGCACTACAGCGCTGCGAACTATTTAAGCTTACATTTTTACAAGCAAAAACACACAAAACCAAGACAAAACTTGCTGCCAAGCATCTGTACAAGTATGCAAAAGCGACGAACGGTTCTTTGAACGAAGTTGTTGTAGGTGTGCGACGACCATTCGTGACATTCTCCCCCACTTAAACTGTCGATGCCCTCGTCGACGCTTGCTGGTAGGCTTTGATAGCTGCTTCTTCATGTCATAGGGAGTCTTCGGGCTCCTAATTTGCTTCGGTTCGGGGAAGCTTTCGCCACTTCACCAAGTACTCGGTCTGCTCAGCTCCGTTGGGTAGTTTCGTCTTACAATCCACTAAAATGGTTTCAACTCGCTTCTCGTATAAGGCTCTGGTGAGGGATAGCCAAGTTGGAACACTTCGGGAAGCATATTGCGGATCTGAGTGGTAGGCTTTCAAGTTGCTACCGTGAAAAACATTATGAATTTTGAGCCACGTTGGCAATTGCAACTTGTAGGAGACATTGCCCACCCTCCTGATAATTGGGAAGGGCCCTTCATACTTATGCACTAATCCTTTGTGCACTTTGTGCCTAAAGAACTGGAGTGACGTTGGTTGGAGCTTCACCAACACCAAATCATTAACTTTGAACTCCTACGGTCGCCTTCCCAAGTCTACCCACTTCTTCATCTTTTTGACCGCCTTCTCCAAGTAAACCCACACAATATCTGCATTTCAATGTCATTCTTTTGCAAAGTGATATGCTGACGGACTACTCCCAGTATAATCGATAGCCAAGGTGTGAGAAGTCGACAGTTGTTGTCTTGTAATAATCTCGAAGGGGCTCTTGTTGGACGTAAAGCTCTGTTACAAGTTGTAATAGAATTGGGCTATATCCAACAACTTCACCCAATCTCGTTGGTTGGCACTCACGTAGTGTCGAAGATATTGCTCAAGGAGCGAGTTTAAACTTTTAGTTTGGCCATCCGTCTAAGGGTGGAGGCTTGTAGAGAAGTATAACTTAGACCCTAGCAATTTGAATAGCTCGGTACAAAATCATCCCAAGAACCGAGCATCTCGATCACTAATGATATTGTGCGGTACTCCCTAATACTTCACCACATTCTTCATCATCAACTTGGCCGCCTCCTCTACTGAACAATGTAGGGGTGCGGCAATGAATGTTCTATACTACGAAAATCGATCGACCACCACGAGTATTGATCCGAGTCGCCCTACTAATAGCAAGCTTGATATGAAGTCCAAGGAAATGCTCTCTCATAGCCTTTTTGGTATGAGCAACGGCTCCAAAAGTCTCACCGACTTCCGCTGCTCCACCTTATCTTGTTGGCAAGTACGGTATGTTCAAACATATTTCTCCACATCAGTCCTCATCTTCAGCCAGTAGAAGGCCCTCTCCACGAGAGCTAATGTTCGTGAATGCCTAGATATCCAACCCAAAGGGAATTGTGATACTCTCTCAAGAGTTCACTCCTCAAATTGTCCACTCGAGGAACATAAACCCTATTCTCTTTTGTGTAGACAAGTCCCTCCTGGATCCAAAATCATTGTGTCTTGCCTTCTTTGATTAGTTGCATCAAGGTTACTGCCTAAGGATCACTGTACAGTCCATCCCTAATCTTGGAAAGGAATTTAGAGTGCAACTGACTTGCTTAGCCTTTGCCCTCCAAATGCATTGCATTCACCGGCTCCACTTTCCGGCTCAATGCATCGTCCACGACATTTGCTCTTCCGGGCTTATACTTCATTGCCCTATCAAACTCAGCCAGGAAGTCCTACCATCATGCTTGCTTTGGAGAGAGTTTATTTTGAGTTTGGAAGTAACTCAACACGATGTTGTTCGTCCTCAGCACAAATCGCGATTTGAGAATGTAGTGCCGCCAAACTCGTAGACAATGGACCACCGCTGTCATCTCCTTCTCGTGCATCGGATATTGTCGCTCGGTCTCATTGAGCTTGTGGCTCTCGTAAGCTACTAGGTGACCCTCCTGCATGAGTACTCCCTCAATAGCGAAGTCTAAAACATCTGTATGGACTTCAAAGGGCTTCCCATAGTAACAATTTGAATACCAGTTCTTCCAACACAGCAGCCTTTAGATCTTGGAATGTCGCTTCACATTTGTCGGACCATCTCCAAGGTTGCTCCTTCAGTAACTCCGTCAATAGAGCTGCGCACTTCAAATACCCTGCTATGAAGCGTCGATAATAGTTGACGAAACAAAGGATCTCAGCTCTGGCACCTTCTTTGGAGTTCGCTATTCCGCAACAGCTTGCACCTTTGATTTGTCAATCCGAATGGAACCATCACTGAATCAATACCCCAAGAATAAGATCTTCGTCTGAGTAAAGTAGCACTTCTCCCTTTTCACGAACAAAAAGTTCTCCCTAAGAACCTTGAAAATTGTCCGAAGGTGCTCAACATACTCCTCAAGCGTTTGGCTGTAGACAATGATATCGTCCAAGTAGGCGACCACAAACTTATCCAAATACTCCTTGAATAGTTGGTTCATAAAAGTGCAGAATGTAGCCGGAGCGTTGGTTAAGCTGAAAGGCATCACCAAGAACTCAAACGCTCCATACCTGGTCACACAGGTAGTCTTCGCTTCGTCGCCTTCAGTAATGCGCACTTGCTAGTACCCCAACTGAAGGCCGGGTTTGAAGAAATACTTTGCTTTGTCCAATTGGTCGAAAAAGTCCGCGATGAGCGGGATGGGATTCTTATTCTTCACTGCCACCTTGTTGAGGGCCTGATAGTCGACGCATAGTCGGAAGCTCCTATCTTGTTTCTTTTAGAAGAGAACTGAACCTCTGAATGGTGCTTTGGAATTACATATGAGACCACCGCTTAGCAGTTCGTCTAACTGCTTTCTGAGCTTTGCCAACTCTAAAGGGGACATGCAATATGGTGGTCTCACTAGAGGCTGTACTCCTGGCTCCAGCTCAATATGATGATCCACGCCTCTGCGTGGCGACAGAGTTTTCGACAACTCAGGTGGCATAACATCTGTGAACTCCTTCAGAACGTTCACCACCATAATAGGTTCATAAATGGCCTCCCCGTCGAGTGGCTCCAGCTTCACAGCAGCCACGAAGGTTAATTCTTCTTTTCGTGTCCCTTTCTTCAGTTGTAATGTCGATATTTGTTGGGGGTCCTTGGTTCCTCTCCGAGAGACAGGAACCTCACAGAAGTCGTCACCTCCCATCAGACATAGGGAGTTTAGGAACGACATTAGCACTAACTTCGCTGTGCGGATGAACTCCATTCCGAGAAGCACTTAAAAGTCGTCCAATGGCACCGCCATCATGTTTGTGCTCCCGCACCATGTTCCGATCTTGATGGGGACTCCCGTTGCTAGCCCGAATATCCGCTTGGCCTCCAACTTCACCGCCTTCATCCGACTTGAGTTCTTCTCCAAGATCAGCCCAAGTTGCTTTGCTTCTCGGTCGACAATAAAGTTGTGGGTAACGCACGTGTCCACCATTGCACGGGTTGTTTGGCCATTAAGCTTGATGTCCATGTACATCAA